ACAAGCTATAAATAACATTTCTTATGTAAACATAATGGCAGTAGAAAATTCTTTTTATTTAAAAATTAATATTGATGTTCATTAATATAAATTACCACATTTCAGATGACTCTGATGTCCTTGAGGCCAGATGTCACTGACTGATTTACAGCTTCCTGGGGGGAGGAGGAGATCCTGTTTTGTCAATGTAGGCACCAAATTGCTTCAAATAGCTATTTTAGACTAGATTGTTAGCAAAGTCAATTCACATCGCAGATCAGAAACATGGCAAACTCTTTTAGAACATATTGACTTGGATTTTGAAATGCAGGAAAAAGAGGATAAAGCCTACCTTTGACTCACTGAACTTCTGTCTCTTTTAGGAGTAGTGGTTTGAAAACTCTTGCCCAGGAACATGCACACAGAATTTCCATGTGCATCATTAGCAACCAGGGAATATCCTTCAGAGGCAGAGTTTTAGGCCTTCATTGATCTTAATTCTACTTTTAATATTAATACAAGTGTGTGTAGCGAGGGTGTACAGAAGGAAGCTCTGCCACCTCAGTCACACCACAGAGATCAGGTATCTGGATTAAATTTTTGAGTGCTTCGTAAAATCCTTAAGTCCTTTGGACCTCATGAATTAAATTGCTGCAAAAGAGGATGGCAGAGGTATTTGTAGAGCTGTCAGGAACCTCCTGTGGGAATGCTCGTGGGCGATGCCTCCGCAGGCAGGTGGAGTAGATTTGTTGTGTTTGCATATGCTGGCAGGTAAAAGGGGGAGGGATTAAAAAAAGCAGGCTGGTTTGAGTCAGTGCATCTCTGTCCATTAGGTATTCATTCAAATTCAACCACATGAAATACAGGCATCCAACAAACCACCTCTTGTAAGTGTCTTTTATTGCAGCAGCTGAAATTCGGCACGTTTGTAGGTGTGTGGCCCTCCATGCTTAGTGTGAATAGCAAACTAATGTAAAGCCTGTATTACAGAGTTTGTTTGACAGCAAAGCTCGCATATATATGAGAGAAATCTGTGCAGGCCTCTGGTAGGATAAGGTCCCATGGCATACAAGTAAAATGTGCACAGGTGATATGAATATAGAGAATAATGCACAAAGAACTCTCTTTTTGAAACTCATCTGCCGTTCGTATAAATCAAACCTATATCCATTGAAAGGCTTGGAAAGATGCTACAAGGCTTTAGAAGGGGTCCATGTTGAATGTGGGATCTTTTTTCCGATCCTTATAAATAAATTATTTTCCTGTGTTTGGTAAGTTTAGCTGCAGAGAATTTATGTTAAGACTGTAGAAGGGAGTACAGAATTTCAGGTAATATCAAGCTGAGAAGGTGGTTTTAAAGTATTTCTGTGATACAAAAGCCATCTATCAAAGAGGCAAATCACCCCCTCAGTCTTTTTTCTCATTTATGAAATAAGTAAACATAAACTCTGAATTCTCATTTTCAGCAAGTATGTTAGTAAAGCCAAACTGACCTTGACCTTAGCTTCGCTAATTCCCAAACTCTGGTATTTATTCCTGGAGTAGATTGTTTCCCTTCATACCACATACATAAATACTGCAAACCTTTCCAATGCCTTGAATTAGAGTGTAAGTAAATAGCTAGTTTTAATCTACATAATATTTTGAGAACAGACGTTCTGTGCTATGACTATTAAGATATTCCCAGCAGCCATTTCTGTAATACTAAAACCTCTTATATCTATTATTAAAAGTAACACTATCAGCCAGGGCTTGTTATGTGCCACAGAAACTTTAAATAATAAAATACAGCATGGATAAAATCTGCAATAATAGTAACGTAAGCAAAATTAATTTAAGTAACAGATAACATCTGGGAGAAAATGCAGTGGTATATTGGTAAGTTATGCAAAGCTAATTTTATAATAACTACCACATCTGTGGAACTCATCTTTTAGAATGCTTTACCAATCTTCTTTCCTGTTATTATTCTGTTTTAGAAATTTCCCTGTGTACTATTTTACTGTCTTTTCTCTGCCTACTTGTAAAACGGCAATTTGCTACCTCTCAGCAACAAGAAAAGTGTGTGAGTTTATGTGCGGAACAACACACTTTTTATACAAACCTGTCTTTATGCACACTTGTACCAGTAAGAGTCCCAGAGCAGGGCTGTGGCACGGGGCTGTGCTCTGAGAGCAGTGTCTGCACCAGCTGCAGTTCTCAGCTGGGCTGGGACGTGGTGCTGACCCATCAGTCCCAAGTCAAGCTGTGCTCACTTCCCCAGCCAAGCGGCCTCCTGGCACCCCACCTCACCTCAGAATTTATAAGAATAGTGCACCTAATTGTCCCTTCAGTTTCTCTCAGAGCAGCTGACACTGATATGCCAGCTACATTTGTGCAACTGCCTCACAATGTCTTTATGTTTGAATTCCTGTGGACCCGCTGGACCGCAGTGTGCAGGAAAATATTGCCAATTAATTTTTAAGGCATTATCGTCTTGCCAAACTGTTTCTCACATTTCGATAGTTATATTGATTCAAGAGGACACTTTGAGTAATGCATCTTTGTCATAGTGAATAATGCTCACATAATGGCAAATCTTCAGGAATTAAAAAAAGGAGAGTGAAGTTTTTAATGTAGGTCAGTGGAAGTAATTCACCATAAATTTACTCAGTCTTCAGAAACTAGCAACATTTTTTTTAAAGCTTCTGTGACTGCATAAAACTTACTGTGTCTCCTTCTCTGTTTTTAAATAGATTTTACTACAGAGCCATTGGTGCTATTAAACATGAGGTTTTGTTCAAAGGAAACACAAAGACTTAATTGTATTTTTAAAGGAAAGTATTGCATCAGAAGGATTCATTTAAATACGTTTGTTGGCTTCGGGCTCTCACCACAATTCATTCGTTCTAATTTTCCCCTGGACTTGTTAAGGACACAATGTATAGAAAGGAGCAATGCAGAATGGCATTTTTAGGTCACTATATTTTGGCTGTAAACTGTAGTCCTGCTCATAAACTTGTTATTACTAAACAAAAAGCTTCATATTCTACATTGAAGTTTCACAGTCTTTTAAAAAAACTTTTGGCTGAATGTTGGGACTATTATGGCTCATTAAAGAGACTAGTTCTGCTGTAATTTAGTTATTTCTTAATGATCCAAGGGTTATTATTAGACATGGAACAGATGAGTAAAGAATGGCTCTCTGTAAAAAGACGCAGTGAAGTAAAAATATTATTCAGAAAAACAGAACCTCTGAAAATCTTATGCATGCAACAAAAGTGTATTTGATTGGTTTGGAATTGATTCTAAAAACATGGTCTATTTTTATTACATAATTTGACCTTTTTTTTCAATTTGGACTGGAGAAAATAAATGGAATGATAATTTAATCTAAATAAAAAAATATATATTTAGTTAATAGGTAACTAAGCAAAAAATATTATTTTAAGGAAGCAGAAAGTAATTTTGAATTGTCATCCACTTCAACTAATATTTTTAATAAGAAAATATAAGGTAAGAAAATTGAGATGGTTGCTGAATTAAAAAAGCTCTAGTTTTTTTAAGAAATAGAATTTGAAAACAAAGTGTCTTTATTTCTGATAGAAATACAGTTTGAGTAAGTTTTTTCATTTTGATTCCAAGAGCAAACTTTCTGACTATTTCTTTTGTGCGTATGTAGGCACTGACAAAGTGCTGAAAATTTGAATTACAAGTGATAAAAGAAAATGCTTCTATAACTCTGTTTTTCTCCTCAGTTATAATCTGCAAATCTTTCTGTCAGTCTGTTAGGTTCTTATAAACATGAGCTAATGCTATCTACCTACTTTACTGAGCTCACACGTAACAGAGAACCTCGGAGGTAGTGACAGAGTCCAAACAGAAGTTGTGAATAGCTTTTAGGACTACAAAAGAGATTTTTATTGTAATGAAGTGGCTAGGTCTGACTTTGTATTTTCAGTTGTTGCTATCATTTCTGCAGATATATAGAAGCTTTAATATTTTCAGCATGTTAACTGCAGCAAGTAACTAAATGACCCAAATATCAACCTAGCTAGAATTTCAAAAGTATGAGGAAATTAATTTATGGGGAATTGCAATTATCCTGATGTGAATTAATGTCGTTTACTTACACCATCCAAGCAAAATCCTGTTTGTAATCGCTGACTCAGAACTGGAACATCTGCCTCGTATTCTCGACAGGCACTTTCCCTGTAGAGGCCCCAGCACACCATTTCAGTGCTGTACCCTGCTCCTTGCTTGGTCACAAATGCCTTTTTTCGCCCTATTTGGCACATATGTTTTCTGTCATCCATTTTTTTTAAGTAGGACACAAAGCCTTGTCCCTTTAGAGGAAACAGGGCTGCTTTTGCATCACTCCTGAGAACCTGAGCATGGACTTGGTGCTTCATCCAGCTGCACCAAGTGGGAAAAGCCATGCCCTTGTCAGGGCATTCCTGGAGCTGCAGCTCCCATGGTCCCCCTGTCTGCAGTGAGGTTCCCATGGTCACAGCAAAGGAACAAGAAGCAGCAAAACTTGGACCATTAGCAACTCTTAAATTATAGTTACATATTAAAATAGTTTCCTTGTTTGATTTAGTGTCACTGCAACTTCACTCCAACTGACTCCTTTGATACTCCCCTGCAATTCCAGACTGCAATAATGTCCCTGTTCAGAAGTGACAAATTTGCAGTGGGAAGACAGAATGTTACCTAAGCACTGTGTTTTCTAAATGTAATTATCCACATGAGTAAGAAGCTGTAGTGTTATGAAATTATGAAAATCATCTGTTCTTTCCAAGCATTATAAAGAGGGCCCCTTGAGATGCAACTAGAAATTAAAGCTGATCTATAATCATTTTCAGAATGCTTTCCAATTCTGAGCACCTGGATAGTAACAGAAAAGGTATTGTTTTTTGCTGTTTGCCAACCATTTCATTTCCATTTAAAAAAAAAAAACAAACTGCAAGAAACCTCTGAGCAATAATTAAACATAAATTACTTTCTTCTCTTTCCTTTTTTTTCCTATTTAATACTACCAGAATGAGATTGAACTTGACCAACCTGCAGTTTCCCCCTCGGCTTCAGCGATAGATTCTCAGGTACAGTTTTGTTCCTTTTCTTTTTTTTTGGGGGGTGGGGGGGTGTTAAGCTGTTTTTCTATCAATTTCCATTGGATCCCAGTCACTGATGGTATTTATTCTCTAGAACATAGCATGCATTCTCTTCTAAGATGGAATGAAAGGCTTTTAATGCATTAATCAGTCAGCAGAGGACATTTATTTGAGTGAGCCCATCTGGGCTCTCGCCCTGTGGGAGGATGTGTCTGCCTGGCCTGGGCAGCGTGAGACAGCCACGATGGGCTCTGTCAAGGCAGAGCTTCCCAAAAGCAGCTCTGTGTGTTGTTGCCTCTCTTTGTGCTGGTGCTGCTGGGTCTCAGAGAGGGCAGGAGGATGTTCTAACTCAGTGTTTCCTCTGGCTGGTTGCTGCTAGGGGTCTGACCGGGGGGATTACCTGCAAGAGCCCTGTCCAGGGGCAGCATCTTCAGGGGCAGATGCTGTAGCTGGAGTCACTGCTGAAGATGAGAAGTCTGCAGTGTGTGAAATCCCAAATGAAATTATTGGCAACCTTGAGGTACTATTACTAGAAAGCTATTCACTAATTCTGTCTATGGTTAATTAGCTAGCTCAGTCTTAATGAATATAAACTGTGTTTGTGCTAAAGCTGGCAAAAAGCACATCCATATGCTGTAAAAATGTGAATTAGCCTCTATAAATAACTCCTAGTTTAGTCAGCTTACATATGATAAGATAAAAAAATACTCAGTAATATGACAACATATATCTTCAGCCTTACTATGTGTCAAAAACACAGGCCAAATCCTGCTCTCAGTGATGTCAGTGATAAAATTCCTTCTTGGGGGTTCAGGACCAGCTGCTGTGCTGGAGTATATGCAATGTGTGCTTAATATAAATTGTTAGATGCATCTATGTCACACATCCTTCAATTTGTGTAAGAAATGACTCACTTATGCCAATTTTAGGCTTTGTCTGCTAGGTGTGTGACTACACAAGAGCTGTCCTAATGAAACAGATCAGCTGTCAGTATGTGGTCTTCAGACTCTGAGGGGTCCATGATTTCTTTCTGTGAGGTTCATGGAAGGGAAGGAAGCTACTGTGACTGGAATTAACAAGAAATGATTGAAAGACAAAGAACATATTTACTAGAACAGATTTGCACCAGAGAGCTGCTGGAATTTGGTCTTACTGGCAACAGCCAGGTGGCATTAGGCACTTTGAACTTCAGATACAGCACATTAGACACTATTGACTAAGCAACAGTTTAATAAATACCTAATATTATCTGAAAATACTGTGGTATTGGTAAATTGCTTTACTTGGACTATGCATCAGTGGGGAATATGAATTAGAATTATTCTATTAATTATTATATTAATTATTATATGAATTAGAATAGATTAGATCGACCTATTTGAGTTCATATTCCATTTCAACATGTCTTTAGAAATGGGAGGGAATCTCTGGCCTGTGATATCTCATTCCTGTCCCTATCAATAGAAAAGAGTAAATACCTGGTTTTCACTTGACCTTCATGCCATTAACATCAGTGCGAAGAGTTTTTTTCTTTACAAGATTGCATAGATGAGAAAAATGTTTGTTTTGTTTTGTTTTTGGTTTTTTTTTGCAACTCTGATGGTGTACAGAGAAAATAATTTCCCTTCAGGTTTTAATTCTTTCGCTAGTGTATCATTTTCACCTGTTTTCTCAGTTTCTTGACCTCCCAAGAAATCTTATAATTAGAATTTTACCTGATTCATGATCAAACTCCTACCATTTTTTGTTATGTGTGAAATATGGTTTCACAATCTGCATTATGTCTCAACATATGCATTAACAAGCCAGCTGTTGCTCTAATTGAGTCTAGAAAATAACTTTTAGTTGGATATCACAGTGCACACTCAGTGGTCTCAGCAACAGCCATAGGAAGTGTGCTGGCAGGCGATTTTCAGTGGAGGTAGGACCAGAGACAGAGGTGTGTAAAAACTGGAGAAGAAAAGGCATCTGGAGTGGCTGGGAGTTGATTAGCTTAGAGAGTCACTGTTCCAGCAACCAAGTATACGCATCACATAAAGGGATGAAGACATATTTGTTGATTCTTGAATATGGTGAAGGCCATTTCCAAAGATTAAAAGTTGAGAATTAAATTCCAGCCTTTTCGTTCTAATCTGAGCTACTGAAAACTTTGAAAACATTCCAGCTGTGGTTACCCATTGATATATTGCAGGATAGCACTGATAGGTATTTCTAGGACTGACAAGCCACAAAGTTCCTAAAATGTCAAGTTACTGCAAGTGCTTCTGGTACAAATCCATTTGCTTTGTCAAAATTACCTGAATTCCATTAAGAGTGTAACTCTGAGTTTTGGCACAGTTTATGCAGAGTTTGTAAAGGACCTGTGAGCCTGTCCCAGTTGTTTATACACAACTTTATGAATCTTAGAAATACTGTCATTGCACTCCTTCCATTTATCTTGTATTTTTGCAGTGATCAGTGCTCATACTGAAAACTATACGTAAATTACCCCTAAAACACCAGTGTTTGTGGCCTTTTTTCCAGTGATCCCACATTTCCAAATGCCATACAATCAGAGATTGCTATGCATTATCACTGCCAAAGATTTCATTAGAATACATCACAACCCCTGTACCTTCCCCACAAATGTTACATTGCAAATCAAACACTCAATGTCTACAGCAGTTTGGATTTCCAGAATGAGATGCATATTCATAATTGTGTTTGTAATTAAGACAGACAAGCAGCATCACAGAAATACGTTTTTTTATTGTTCATTTTCAGTAATGCTTTTTAATTCCAGCACTGTTTCAATAAAACACATTACACTAGAGAACAAACATCTGCAGCAAAGGCAAACAGTAGCAACAACCAGGTCCCAAAGCAATTTTTCTGATTTGGTGTCTATTGGTAAAGGCTGTCTGAGAATACAGGAAAATTAGCCTATCTCCCAAGACAAGGTTACGTGAGGAATGGCTGTCCCAGATCACTTCCTGCTCATGGCAGCCATGCCATCCATGGGAATTGTGCACGGCAGCGTGATAACGTGTTATCACGTAAGGACAGACGGGAGCACCGCTCTGTCTGCAAAACAGGAAGGTGTGGAGGATAATGTCTGCCTTGCTGCTCCACGCTGTGTCAAAACCACAAAGACAATGTGCAGCCTAAGATAGCTCCATCATAACCACTTCTTTCTCTGATTTTCTTTACAGGCAGACTTAAATGAAAAGCTGCAAATGCAGGAAGAAGCTTAGACTTGGAGAACAGAAAAATTGAAAATTCCTAAATAGCCAGATAAGAAAGGTGATGCTGGGTTTTGCAGTAATTGGGCAGTAGGGGATGGCACATAGAGAGGCTGGCTCACTACCTGAACCAAATTATTTTTGTGTGGAGGAAAATGGTTCTGTTAACATTTACCTGGAAGTATTTCATCCCAGTTCCTCAAATTTACGGTGTTCTGACAGTGTTGTTGCTTAGTTTAGACTTAAGTTGGAGATTATAAACAGAAGGACACATAATTAAAACATGTTGAAGTTCAGTTTATTTCTGAATACAAATTCTAACTTAAAAAAAAAAAAGCTGCAGTTTCATTCTCCCAGTTGTGAAATACTTAACAGTTTCTGCTTTACACCTATGGTTTTTTTCAGGAAATGTTGCTACAAGGAAAATACATAGAGGGAAAACATTATTTTGAGGCACTGTGGATATAATAGGGAGAGAATTTAATTAACATGTAATTACGCACCTTGCACTGTAGCTATTCATTAATAATATGTATGTTATTTTGTTTTAATTTTCTTCCTAAGCTTTAAAAAAAATTTAATAGCTTACACTTTCTTTCAACCATATTAAAATTGCATAACTGAAGAGTTTGCACTTAAGATTCCAAGAAGAGTTTCTTTAGATTTCAGTGGATTTTTTTCTGGAATGCATGTATCCTTTCATCTGAGAATGTTTCCATATTTTGTCAGACATTATAGAAATGTTTCATGCTCAAAAGGAATCCAATCAAATAAATGACCTCAGAAGAACCGGCTGAACATCTCTGTTTCAAACTTGCAGCCTGTATTTGTTGTGTCGCAGAACTCTGTGCCCTAGCAAGCATGTGAAATACAAGTCATGCTTTGAAGCATAAAGGCTGGATTGGATTGCATGTTTAGTGGAATACATGAGAAACAGAGTATTTTATTCATTGCATTTTCATATTTATTTACCACTATTAAAAAGTTAGATTTTGTTTAATTTCATCCTCATTTTTTGGTGGTGGCAAATGAAAAAAATTTGCAAGCCTGACTCAGCCATTCTAAAGAAGAAAACAGCTTGTAGCTGTTCTCCTAAAAGGTCTGATTTGATGCTGCCTGACTTTCAGGGGCTGCTCCTGGTGGGCCCAGCGCTGAGCATGCAGCTGGAAGGGTCATTCCCATGTGCCCAGCAGGACGTGGTCCCACAGCTGAACCCAGTTGCTGTGCCTGGGCACCAGGAGCCTGCGTGTGCTGTGCAGAGTGAGTGCCAGTGGGCACAGAACTCCTGCAAACCAGTGGTTCACTGCTTGAAGGGACAGAGCATTTTACTTGGTCTCATGCACTGAGAAAAATTCTTCCCCTGGTATGTGAAAAGGAGAAGGCCTGTGATGATTCACTTCCAAGTTCTCTTGATTGCTGTTTCCAGTGCTGGTCAGAAAACTAGTGAGAGCTTCCTTTCAGCTATTAAAAGGTGACTGTTCTGCTTTGAACAATGAAGGAATTATTGAGGCATTATTAGTTTTACCTTTAAAAAAATATTTTGATTCCTGGTTATATTCTTTGTTGTTTTATTCCTGTGAAGTATGATTTTTTTTTTTTTTTGTTAACGAAACTTTCTGAAATCAGAATGTCCTTTATTTTGATAACATAAATCCATCTCCCAAGACATTATGCTAATGTCACCGTTTCCCTAGTTTTGAACTCAAAGGTGAGAACAGAACTTTTGAAGAGAGCTGTCCATATGACAAAGAGTATTTAAAATACTTTTTAGTGAAAATGTGTTATTGGCAATTTAGCATTGTTTAGCACTTCAGACCTAAATCTGAGGGCTGCAACATTCCTGCTGTAGTGCTAAACAGAAAGGGACTAACTATGGTTTATATTAAGACCAATGCTAAACAAAGACTTTTGCCTGTAGCTCTTTCTCCCTCTCCTAGATTTTGTCAAACCTCTGGGAAATTTTAAAATGCTTTGAAGATGAGAAATAGTGTATGAACCTCAAGTATTACTGTGATGATTTGTTAGCAGTCAATCTTAGTACATATGCATAACAGCTGAAGTAGTGCAGAAATCCAGAGTGAAGTCCAAATCCCACAAACCGTTTTCGTAACCAACTTTCTGCTGAACTAAATAATGCTACCAATAAAGAATAGATCCTGGGATTTTTTGGGAGTGGGAAGGAGGATGGTTAGGAGCCTGAGGGAGGGAAGATGAGTAAAAGGTAGACATAGCATCTCTCTAAGCAGTCAGAGTGTGAGTTCTGACACAGCATATGAACATTGAATTGAAGAATTCTTTAATGTCTTCAGAATGTTAATATGAAATGCAAAACATCATGCTTTGGATAGATGGGTAGGAACAAAATGTTCAGATGCAATATGGTGCATTAGGAACAGTCTCCATTCTGTATTCCTGGCTTTCCCATTGGTTTAAATCAAGCTTGCTGTTTCTCCAGTCTCTCATGTCATGTTGAGTTACTGCTGTAGTCATCTCTAAAAATAATTATGCTGCCATTCCTTGGACCTACACTTGAGGCTTTGGTCTTACTATCTTTGAGTTTTTTTGGGGTTTTTTTGCCATGCTGTTGATCTAACAAAGTTCTTTACAATGCACATACATAGCATAGTTCTTAACAGGTTCCCACCCTACAAAGCTCTCAATTTAAAGCAGATAGGTCTTGTAGAAATGAAGGGAAGAGATGTGTTCTACCTTGTCTGCCAGAGAAGTGGTGGTTTTCCAGGGGCAGAGGACAGATGAAACAGTATGGTTTCTCCTATATAAGGTATAGTTTCTCCTATATAATATTAATGCTTTTTAGCATCTTCATGGCAAAATCCTGGTCTGTACTAGCATTTTATAATGAGACAGCACACAACTAGTAATTATCCTCTGGTAAACGAAAGGGTCTATTTTCAGGCAGTGCTTTTCTGCGTTACACTGACAGTGTGATGGAAGTTTAGATGGAAAGCAGCTTTTCTAGTAAGAAGCTGGCTTGAAAGTGATGGGAGAGGAGACAAAAAGAGAAGACAGTTTTTTACCTGTTTTATAGTATTTTTTCATGACCTTTTCTTCTCAAGCCTTTCTTCTCTTCTTTTGCACTGAATTTTGATTTGAATTTGAAAATTGCCACACTGTTTCCTTCCTAAAATTGTAACTGGCATTCCTAGAAAAATTGTTTTCCTAGAAAAGCTGCTGTGCGTAGGCTTCAAATTCAGCTTTTCATAAGTGAGAATAAGACATTTTCTTCAATAACCTACACAGCCAACCTGACCACAAAACATGGGCAAAGTCAGCACTGGCCTGCTTCAATCGGGCTCTTCAGCACATGACCCAGCTGACATTCAAACATGTTCATCCAGATGGGCATGTTGCACTTACCTGAAAAGCCTCTGGAGCACAGGTTTGGACCTGGGCTGACCCAGAAGGGATAGAAGAGAGAACCACAAAGTTCTGTCAGCTGGCAGTCTAGGGGGGGCTGTTCAAGGTGAAATCCCCTCTGCTTCTCCACCACCTTTCACAAAAAAGTGACAGCAGTGACAAAACACTGTGCTGCTTGCCACGAGCAGCTCCAAACTGAGCATTTGGAATAAGCATTTCAGCCCATTTTGTTGTGGCACTTTGAGTGTGCAGAGGAAGCTTTGGGCTCCAGCAGTTGTGGATTCAGATCACGTGTACCAAAAAAAAAAAGAAGAATCAAAGGATAGTTGCAGTGACTCATGTAATTGCGAGTCCCATTCAGATGCAGAGCCTTAAAGAGGACATGGAATTAGTAATGCTGCAGAAAGAACAGAATGTAAAATATTTCCAGAGTAGAAACAACCTGACTTTTTGCACAGTGGACTGCTTTAAACACAGTAGTGCTACTCTAAAGGCTGTGCTGTCCTTGACTTAACAGAGGGTGCACTAAACAGGAGGTTTGTTCATGCACAATTCTTCACTCACTAGGCCTGCTGGGAGTTGTGTTTATTTTTAATGTGTTTTTGAATGTTTCTGCAGCTGACTCAAAGAACAGAAAAGGAAAAGGTGAGTTGTTACAAGCACCCCACCCAGACAGGGTAGGGGGAACAAGAGGGGAGACCTATGGCCTTGACATCAGGAGGCTGTGAGGAAGAATGGTCCGAAAAAGTTGTTCTCCTAAATGAGCATGGTACTTCTGTGTTCCTGGAGAAAGGCTGGTGGAGCTGTATCACTGCAGGATGCCAATGTGCATGGTCATTCATGGTGGGAGCCTCTGGAGGTTGCTTTCAGCATCTTTTAAGGTGAGCCTGTTCCCCCGGTGGCTGCAAAGGTGGCATCAGGATTTTGCCTCCCTTCACTGAGGTTGGTCTACATGAGTATCTCAAAAGTTTTCATTTCTTACTTTTCCAGACATTTCTAAAGATCTTTCATACAAGATTTTCTTGACATTTGAATCTTACATCTTTTAAACTTGAGCCAAGACAATTTTCTTGTCTATTTTTATGATTGTATTGATTGTAGCATAAAAAATGTCTTATCTGGGTAGAGCAGGATCCAAGTATCCCAAGCTGCTACCTTTGGCATTGGCTGTGAGAGATCCTTAGCAAGGAGCATAGGAACAGGGCATCCTAAGGGCATACCCCTGCCATGGACTGGTGCTTTAGAAACTTGTGGAGCCAGAGTATGCACCCATGGATTGAAATCGAAGGAGTTGGTCTAGTCCGTTTTTGACCTCAGCTGTGCTCCTGCCCACCATACTATTCAGTGGCAATAAGTTCCTCACTGTCATTTTTGTGTTGTCAATGAACCCCAGCTGCAGTGGATACTGAAGGCTCAAATTTGCTCAGCTCAGTGGCTTTCAAGATCCTCAGCTGTATTGGTGGCTTGTATGTCTGGAGAGTGGATAACCAGGAAGACACTGACTTTTCATGTACAGCAGGAGCAGCCAAGACCCAGGTAAGAGAAAGCATCTGTCAGTCTCTACAAGACTCAGCCAGCATTTATGCCCTGTTACTGTTTGTCACTTCTTTTTGTGCCATATCTAACTTGGATTAATCCTCCTGAGCAGAGATGCATCATTCAGTCTTCATCTGTGTGTCAAGGGACACACAAGTGGCCCTGCCTGGACAGAAGGAACTGACAAAAGGAGGAAAAATGACCATCTTTGGTCTGTCAGGCAGACAGCAAATAGTTTGCTATTCTAATCATCAGAGCAGCGAGTTTCCTTGGAGCATGTAAGTCGTGAATTACCACGCAGCTCTAAGAGGAAACTTTGCCCTTTGATTGTTTTCCAAAGAAATGTTCTCAATTTCTTCACTGCCAAATTCATATTGCAGATCATGCTAACAAATTTTCCCAAGCCTTCTTGACCTTCTCCCTCCTTTCCAGTAGTAAAAGAAATTTCACTCATGGCAGGGAGATGTTGAAGATTGCTAAATTTTGCTGATTTAGGAACAGAGTGAATGAAACAAGCTTAAAAATATGTAGATAGTGTATTTCAGAATGCAGTTAGCTCTGCTGGTAAGGAAAATGAAACTTGTGATAATTCTGCTGTTTGACAGTGTGTTAGAAAATTGCCTGCTAATGGGTAGGTGGGGAGGCTGCACATGCTCCCTTATGATGATGGCACAAGTGTGTGTATGACCCTGGGGGGCCCTGCTTTGGGAGGATATTGGTTTAGGTTTATTTTTCTCCTTATTTTTCCAGTAAGTCTGTGCCTGTTCTCGCCGAAGTAAGGCAAGGTAACAGCAATGCTTTGCTTCAAACGAGGTGTTTTACATTGATTGGAGCTTGGGGGGCTCAGTGTTTAGTAGCACCACTTTC